TACTGTACATATTTAACATAATTTTTTCTTTAAGTTCAAAGCCCCTGTTGCCTTCTGGCTAAAGGCCACATATGACAACTGTTATGGTTGAATGGTAGATATGAACTAATATATTGTATGACCAGATAATGACATTACAAGAACATAAAATGAAGGTCATCTAAACTGTTATCTCATCTGTATAGCAGATGTCCATGAAAAGATAAAAAAGGATGTGACAGTCTTTAGGTGGAAGCAATCGTTTCTTAAAGCGGAGTTCCACTTACCCTGTCAAAAAATAAAAGTCAGCATCTACAAAAACTGTAGCTGCTGACTTTTAAAAAACAGCCACTTACCTGTCCCTCGGTCCTGCGGTGTGTCCCCCACAGCTTGTTTCTCTGCTCGTCCTGTATTTCAGGAGGCCGGCATCTTCAGTGTGGGCACCTGGCTGTGACAGCTTGCGGCTTCACAGCCGGTTGCCCACTGCACATGCGCGAGTAGCACTGCGCTTCATGAATGGTCCTGTAGTCTTCTGGGACCTGTCACGTGTCCCAAAAGACTACAGGGAGGGAGGGAGGACACCATCCGCTTCCGGTCGCCTAGGTGATCAGACCTGAAGTGAGAGCGGGTACCTGTCAAATTCGGGTACCCGCTCCCCCCCTCCCCCCCAAAGGTGCTAATCCTTAATGGGGAGCGGAGGAGCAGTCCTTGAAGCAGAACCTACCCTTTTGGGTGGAGCTCCACTTTAAGCAGGACAGTCTCTCACATGTAAGCCTTGCAAATGTCCATGAGTTTCAGCTTGTACAAAATCCACATAACTGTGTTCTGTACTCCTTACAGGGTGGACTGACCATTTGGAAACTCGGGCACTGCCGAGGGCCCAGGGCCAGTAGGGGGCCCATGAGATGCCCCTGGTACCTTTTTAATAGGCTTTTTTGAGTTTTGGCAAGGGCACAGGGGCCCCATGATCACCTTTGCCTGGGGGCCCAACGAGTTGTCAGTCTGCCCCTGACTCCCTGATCACCTACTGGTCTTGCTACTGACCTGGCTACGTATGACACTTGTCTGCTACTGATTTATGTTACCGACCCTGGCCTGGACTTTAGACTAAGATTCTGCCTGCTGATTTGCACCTTGCTGCCAGCACATTGCCAACCCCTACCTGTCTCCGACCTGGATCCTGATTGTAATTCTGCACCTACCTGCCTGGCTGGTTCCCAACTTGGCTTGTGGGCTGACTCCTTGTTTGTGCTTATCCATCCTCAGCAACTCCAAGTTCAAGTTTGCTGAACCTGGAATCTGCACTCTTCTGCTGCCCTAGCATTTCATGCTCCACTGTCAGGAATGTGACACCCTCCTTGACAGGTACCTCTTCATAATACTATTATTAGGATTTCATTTATGAGATTTTGTGTCAAGATGGCCACCCACATTTTGCTTTATTTTGGTATCCAATAGGATTTCTGTTCTCTCGAAGATGACTGCCTGGAACCCATAGCAAGGAACACTTACTCCTCAATGGTCTCCTGCCTGCCTGAAGAAATGGCACAGTGCCACACCTGCCTACAAGCCTTCCCATTGAACAAGGACTGGCTTATGTGTATGTGAAACTTCAAAACTAACTAGGGACTTGAGCCATCAAGCTTGAAAGCTGTAACTGATAATGAGGTTTTGAAAGAGTGATGGCACTACAACACATTTGAATTGTGTTTGATATGTTTGTGGTAACTCATGAACTAGCATTACCACATATCATCAGTGGCAGACACCCCCAAAACCTTACCAGCATTCCTGCATGCTACTTCTCGCCCAGCCTACTCCCATCTGATGTGTCCTCTCACCTGTGCTTTTGGGGTACAGTAACAGAGGTCGGGGAAAATGTATTCAAGGGTTGGCCCTCTAAAGAGCAATCTACAGTAGATTGATTTTCAGAGGGCATTTGACAGGTGGTGGGGAGGGGTTATGTTGTCTCTTCATCATCTGTTTTAACTGTTAAGTGTTGTCACACCTCGGTGCCACAACGGCATGCAATCCATGTGGTTTACAGGGTGGTTGCAGCTAGGCTCCATTCCCTTAAATGGTTTGCATTAGTATTGGCCATCAAATGTGACAGTAGGGATACATTTTGCAAAGCATCAAACCATGGCACGTGTATACCCCTGTAGGGCTGCCTTTGTAACTTGGGGGGAACGAATTGGGAATGGTAAAAATGCATGTTTTTAACTCCTCAGCCACAAGTGTAAACCAAGCCTAACAGTCAGGAGTTAACCACTTCCATACCGGGCACTTTTACCCCTTCCTGCCCAGGCCATTTTTCAGGTTTCAGCGCTCTCACACTTTGAATGACAATTGTGCGGTCATACAACATTGTACCCAAACTAAAATTTTATCATTTTCTTCACACAACTAGAGCTTTCTTTTGGTGGTAATTAATCACCGCTGGGGTTTTTATTTTTTACTAAATTAACCAAAAAAAAGACCGACAATTTTGAAAAAAAAAAAACACGTTTTTCTTTGTTTCTGTTATAAAAGTTTGCAAATAAATAATTGTTCTTCATAAATTTAGGCCGAGATGTATACTGCTACATGTCTTTGGTGAAAATAACCCAAATTAGGATGTATTTTTTAGTTTGTAGGAAAGTTATAGAGTTCACAAACTATGGTATAGATCTGAATATTGATCAATCCTGAAGTACTGACAGCCAATCTAATTTCTTGAGGTACAAGAATGTCAGAACAGTACAGATATCCCCCAAATGACCCCTTTTTGCAAAGTAGACAGTCCAACGTACTTCATAAAGGCATGGCGAGTTTTTTGAAGTTGTATTTTTTTGTCATAATTTTTCGGAAAATAAAAAAAATTTAAAAAATTATTTTCACTATTTTTTTTTACATACTGTCACCAGTGCAGTACAGCATCATCATATAACTGGCATGGCAATGATCATGGACACTGACTGGTGACAGTATGAAAAAAAACATATCTTTTTTTTAAATTATTTTTAATTTTTTATTACTTTTTTTCTTTTTTTTTTAAGATTTTTTTTTCATATTTCACTATGACCAAAGTAGTACAATGTTACCATAGTAACATTGTACTTCTTTGGGGAAGTGATCAGTATTTTGTTTTTTTTTTTTACACAATTTGCTTATAGCAAAGAATTACTTTGCTATAAGCAAGCATTTACCTGAATGACTGATTTATTCAGGGTTTTTTTTTTTTGGCTTAGCTGTGATTTGGCCACAGCTAATCACATGACATGTGCATGTGATCGCTGTGACCATTCACAGCTAGACGCTAGTATACAATGGATGGCATGAATGAAGCCATCCATTGTATACAACTGTCATGTGACCTGCTGTGATTGGTCACAGCAGGTCACATGGTACCGGCAACAGGGGCCGGTACTCAGATCTGTCATCGGCCGTGTCCGAGGTACACGGCCAGTGACAGATCGCGCCGCTGCAAGTGCGCAAACTGCGCTGCGCATGCCCGGGAGTACGTATGGCGTCCGACCGGAAATCTAATGCATTTTTCCGGCAGCCAAATGGCTATTGGCCTGGGCGGCTAATGGTTAAAGCCCAAAAGGACTAAAAACTTCTCTCAGATATTAATGTTGTTTAAATGCCATCATTGTTTTTTTTCCTTTTATATATTAGTGGTCCAGTGTTATAGTTTGTGTCTGGGACAGTTTTCAGACCAAAGATTTTGTCCATCCAGTCACATGCATTCTGGTGCGTACTGGGACTTATACTTTCCCAAAGCTGGTAAGTCTCTCCTTCTTTGTCTCCATATATTGTACCTGCATACCTTTATTGTTACAGCATACTGATGGAGTTGGGACCCCGCCTATCAGATATCTGCCATGTTGGCCCTCCTATGTGTTTTCAAATGTCCCTGCCAATAAGCTTCAGTGATTCTAACTGAATTTGATACTGCCTTCAAATGGCACAAAGTTATTGTTCATAGGTTGCAAAACTTTTATTGTACCACTAAATTCTTTATTATGCTGTTGTGTGTAATATTGCCTTGTAAGTTCATTGTAACCCTTTTCCACAGTAAATTACCCCCTTTACGCCGGTCACACACAAATGTGCGGCCTCCCGGTGTCTGGGCCTAGACGCCGAGCGGGCGCACATTTGCGTTCATGTAAGAAAAAACATATGTGCTGAGAGCGCGCACCCTGTGCACCCCCTAGCACACATGTCCGGTACTCACGGAAAGGTCCCGGTTTGCTCTTTCGATCGGGACCTTTCCTGATCATGTGACTGCCGTGACCGATCCCTAATCCACGCCCCGCCCGCCATGCCTCCCGGCTTCTGAAACTCTTAAAGGGCCGGGAGGAGCCAGCGGGAAGGGGTTAAAGTTAAGGCTTCTTTTTTTGCTCAATGGTGTATATTTTTTAGACTAGTCTATATCGTTTGACTTTCTGAGATGGAAAGGTGGACACCTTTCTAGTGAAAAAATATTTAGGAAAGAACACACAAGAATAACGTGGACCATGAAAAGTAAAAAGTGCAACAAATATCAGGTAAAAAACACTGTTTTTTAACAAACATTTTGAAGTTCAGGTAAATTGTTAGTGCAGAATAAACACTTTTGGCAGTTAAGTAATACAATTATTTATACATAGCTCTATATCAAAGCAAAATATATACAGTGCTCAGCATAAATGAGTACACCCCAACAGATTTGTCAGAAAACCTTTATTTTCCTTTTAGAATCAACATTTTCTATGGGGCACTATACTACAAAATACTCCCACAAATGCAGGCCATTGATTGCAAACAAGATTTGTTAATTTGCACACACACAAAAAGTAATTTTTCTAACAAGATTTATTCAAGACCATGTTGCAAACATGAATGACAGTCTTAGGTCAAAGCAAAATTTTAGACAACAAAATCCTAATTAACAAGAATTCAACCGCAAGTGAGTCTAATTATTCATTAAGCAGGTGTACAGCAGACAGTTGATTATAAAAGGGCGTTAATTAAAAAGGAAAACCCCTTCACATTTCATGCTGTCAGCAATGGCACCACATGGAAGATAAATGTCACAAGGCCTGAGAAAGAAAATAATTTCTTTACACAAGAAAGGTGAAGGCTACAAGAAGATCGACAAAGCTTTTCTTATCAGTCAGAATACTGTAGCAAAAGTGATACAAACATTTACAAAAGATGTAACTGCAACCGTCTCACAGAGACATCCAGGTCATCCACGGAAGTTAACACCTCGACAGGAGTGTCTTCTGATGAGAAGGGTTGAAGAAAATCGCCATGCAAGTTCACTGCAGTTAGCGAAGGAACTAAAAGCCAAGCTGGGGTGATTGTTTCCTGTGACACAAAATGGTGTACACTGCAGAGGAAAGGCATGCATAGGTGTCACGTACCTGATTTGAGACTGAAATGACGAGGTCAGCCTCACTTGTGTCACTAGCTATGATCCCACTGGCAGTGGAACAGAGGGTGTCTAGGGACCAGGGGGACAAGAGTGCCAGCAGATGTTGTTTGCAGCATTTGCAGCTGGAGTCCTTAAAAGACTGCTGGGCCACCGATTCAGGAACAGTAGCAATATGCAGAGTTGGTATGGTAGATCGCCACGCATGCACCAGAGCAAGGCAAGAAGCTGGGATGGGAGACAGGAGCAATGTCATAGGAATGGCCGGGGTCATCAACGGGCAGACAATGAGGTACCAAATCATAAGCAAGCCAAAGTCAGGAGCAGTGCCGAGGTCAGGAACAAGTATCAAGCAGGAAAGTAATCAAGAGTCAGGTCAGGAACAAGCCGGGTCAGCAACAAGGAAATCACACAGGAATGAACAGGAAACAAGGAACAGCTGAAGACCAGTCAGCACTCAGCACAGGCAGAGGCACCTTTTAAATAGTCTATCTGGTGCCAATCTTCTGAGTGTGCACGTGCGCGTGAGTGTGCACGAATGCGCATTTCTGTGCGCATGTGCATGTCTATTGCCAGCCGTCTCACGGGAATTCCCTTACAATAGGTGTCATCCACGAAGTAAGCCTCTCCTAAAGTCCATGCACAAAAAAGCCCGCCTAGAATTTGCCAGGGCCCATGCTGAAAAATAAGATAACTACTGGGACTCTGTACTTTGGAGTGATGAGACGAAGACAAATGCTTTTGGAACTGATGGCTTCAAAACTGTATGGTGTTGCAAAGCTGAGGAGTACAAAGAAAAATGCATGGTGCCTACAGTGAAACATGGTGGTGGCAGTGTCCTTCTGTGGGGCTGCATGAGTGCTGTTGGTGTCGGGGAGCTGCATTTCATTGATGGTATCATGAATTCACAGATGTACTACTCTATATTGAAAGAGAAGATGCTACCATCACTCTGTGCCCTTAGTTGTCATGCACTTTTCCAACATGATAATGATCTAAAACACACATCTAAGGCCACTGTTGCATTTCTGAAGGAGAACAGGGTGAAAGTGAGTCAGTGGCCAAGTATGTCTCCTGATCTGAACCCAACTAAACATCTATGGGGAATTCTGAAGAGACAAGTTCAGCATCACTCTCCATCCAGCATCCAGGCTCTAAAAGAAGTCGTTCTTGAAGAATGGAAAAAGATAGATGTTGCAATATGTCACCAATGTGTTCATTCCATGCCCAGAAGACTTTGGTGCTGTCCATACAAATCATGGAGGTCATACAAAATACTAGATGTAGTAGTTTTTGTTGTGGGGTGTATTCATTTTTGCATTAGTGATAGTCCAAACACCTCCCTTTTCGAACCTAATGAATGTTAGACCATGAACTTTGAATTTAATGCAAGTCTATGGGACTCGAACTCATACATTTATAAATGCCCGTATTGAAGGCTTATGAGTACGTTATTGGCCATAAACGTGGCATGGGGACTCGGGTACTGTCCTGAGGGACATGAATCAGTGAAAACCTTTTTTTTTTTTCGAAAAGTACCGTTTTTAAAGGGACAGTTATTTTTCATTGCTTAAAGTGAAAAAAAGGAGGAAAATTCCTTTAAATATCATGCCTGGGGGGTCACATTAAACTGCCTGCAAAGTTGCACATCTGTACAATGTATAGAACCTGCTGTAGCAGGAGTGCCATGTTTTAAAAAAAATGACATATTTATTAAAAAAAACATAAAAAAAAAAACCAGCGTGGGTGTCCCCCCCCTTATCCATACTAGACCCTTTGGGTCTGAGAAGAAGGTTAGGAGGGACCCCACAGTAAAAAACTAAAACAAAAGTGCGTGGTGTTCCCCCTGAAAACCATACCATGCCCTTTAGGCCTGATAGAGCTTTTAATGGGAACCTCACCTCCCAAAAAATGGGGGGTGCAAGGACTTTTAAGGAGAACCCCACCCCCAAAAATGGGGGAAAAAAACTGTGGTCCCCCTTAAATTCCTACCAGACCCTTGATCCAAGCACAGGCCTGGCAGGCCAGGAAAGGGGGGATGAATGAGTGCCCCCCTTCCTGCGGCTTACCAGGCCATGTGCCCATGGGGACAAGGGCCTCTTCCCCACAACCCTTGTGCAGTGGTTGTGGGGGTCTGCGAGCAGGGGAGATTGTTGGCATCAGGGTACCCCTTTAAATAAGGAAGCACCCTGATGTTGAAACCGCTTGTGACTGAGTAAGGGGTACTTGTACTCCTATCCATTCACTAAAGGGTTAAATTGCAAAAAAATAAAGAGGCCAAACTTTTGAAAAATTCCTTTATTGAACAAAAAAAAACAGCTTTTGACAAGTCCTTTATTTCAAAAATGCCAAAAAATGGTTCCATCATTGTAATCCATCATCAATCATGGCATCCAGCGTTGTCACAATGGCGCTGACTCACCAAAATAAAATAATAAACTGCGCCTGCGACCCCTCCTGATTGCTGTTGCTGATCAGATGTAAACAATCGGGAGAGCTAGAAGTGATGTCACAGCTAGCTTCGCCCAATTGTGCTGTTATTGGCCAAAGCATTGGCCAATCACAATACACTGTGAGAGCACAGTGCATTGTGGATCGTGGCAGGTGAACAGCCCGCTGAATGCCCTTACCGTCCGTGTGTTTGCCAAACACACGAACGGCCGATGTTCGAGTCGAATGTACATTCAACTCGAACATCAAGGACAACACGATTTTGCATGAACTAATTTGAGTAAAACCGAAGATTTTGTAATCTAAGTTATATTATTAACCTTACTTTCATGCAATGAGCACATCGAATGTTCTATAAAACTCAGTTTTGACAAAATTTGGGAAATTGTTCTTGTGTTTAATGAGGTATTAATTAAAATCTTACTTTCAAAAGGGGTGTATTCATTTATGCTGAGCACTGTTCATTAGGGATAGAGGGACTTGGTTCCAAATAAAGTGTAATTCTTTCCAAAAAAGACCATTAAAAGGTATGCTAGTCTGCCTTGGAAGCTACTAATTATTACACCCTCAACACATCGAATAACAGAATTCTGATGCATGATATGCACCGTGCAGGTCAAGATACATTAGTGCTTCGGTTTCGGTCTGTGTTACTTACCAAGGAACTTCTTTGTCACTTTAGTTTTCCACTCCTTTAAAGATGAAGTAAGCCCTGTAGAAGTTTTCTTCTGCCCTTTCCTTAATCTCAACCTAATCTTAGATTTTACTCTGTGTGTACTGAAAAAATACCATCCACATTCAGCATCAATTAAAGGAGAAGTTCTCTTTTCTTTGTGTTCACTCTTAAGGAAACCCTATTTTTACATCAAGAAAGATTTAACTCCTCATGTGCACCAACTACGGCCCATTGAGTGCGCAGAAGATTGGACATTTCAGTTTAAAGGGACATTCATATATCTAATTAATTAGCTTTTCCTTTCTCAGAGTTAAACCCAGCCATCAGTAACCGAGAGCCCAACCGTGAGTCTGGCAATTTGCTAGTTTCCCTTCAGCTCACTTGGGAAGAAACATCTCATAACTGGTTCTACCATTTAAATTCCAAATTGCAGTACATCTAAGAACTGATTGAAGCTGTGTTGTGTTGCAACCCTTACTTGAGTTTTCTAAGAGTGTTAACTGTTATTCTATGCACATGCTTTCTTGTCATTTTACTGTGCTTGCATTTTGACCTTAATATAGCCAAAATATCAATTCACTGCAAGTCTTTTTTATGGATGCAGCCAGGGGGGTCTCTTGATCAAAGGTTTAAGGTGGTGTCAGTAGGGGTTAGGCTTCCAAGGCGAGCTCAAGAGAGACAGGGAACCTGAAAAATTATTCAGTGGCCCTCAAGGGGGTAGTGCTACATGAAATTGTCACTTAACTATTTAAATAGATTTGGTCACGTTAGCATGACAAGTGTTACGTCCAGGGGCGGACTGACAACTCATGGGGCCCCCGGGCAAAAGGGGATCATGGGGCCCCTGTGTCCTTGCCCAAACTCAAAAAAGCCTATGAAAAAGGTACCGGGGCATCTCATGGGGCCCCCTACTCACCCCGGGCCCTTGGGCAGTGCCCGAGTTTCCAAATGGTCAGTCCGCCCCTGGTTACGTCTATGAGTGTGAAACTCTGCTGTCCTTCATATGAAAAGGAGGCTGTTGTTTACACACAGTGCAACAATGTGCCCATTGGTATAAGCATCCTGCTGCCTTATACACTTTGGTTGATTTACTAAAACTGGAGGGTGCAAAATCTGGTGCAGTTCTGCATAGAAACCAATCAGCTTCCAGATTTTATTTATGTTTGTATCTTAACCTACACATACATTATATTCTCAAAAGTATTGGGATGCCTGCCTTTACCTGCACATAAACGTTAATGGCATCCCAGTCTTATTCCATAAGGTTCAATATTAAGTTGGCCCACCCTTTGCAGTTATAACAGCTTCATCTCTTGTGGGAAGACTGTCCACAAGCTTTAGGAATGTGTCTATGGGAATGTTTGACCATTCTTCCAGAAGCACATTTGTGAGGTCAGGCGCTGATGTCAGACGAGAAAGCCTGGCTCGCAGTCTCCGCTCCAATTCATCACAAAGGTGTTCTTTGGAGTTGAAGTCAGGCCAGTCAAGTTCCTCCACCCCAAACTCGATCATCCATGTCTTTATGGACCTTTACTTTGTGCACTGGTGCGCAGTCATGTTGGAACAGAAAGGGGCCATTCCCAAACTGTTCCCACAAAGTTGGGAGCATGAAATTGCCCAAAATGTCGTGGTATGCTGAAGCTTTAAGAGTTCTCTTTACTGGAAATAAGGAGCCAAACCCAACCCCTGATAAACAACCCACACCATAATCCCCCCTCCACGACACTTTACACTTGGCACAATGCAATCATGCAAGTACCATTCATCTGGCAACCCCCAAGCCCAGACACATCCATAGGATTGCCAGACAGAGAAGCGTCTCCGCTGCTCTAGAGTCCAGTGATGGTGTGCTTTACGCCACTGAATCCAACGCTTTGCATTGCACTTGGTTATATAAGGCTTGGATGCAGCTACTCGGCCATAGAAACCCATTCCATGAAGCTCTTTATGTACTATTGTTTTGCTAACCTGAAGGCCACATGAAGTTTGGAGGTCTTTAGCTATTGTTTCTGCAGACAGTTGGCGACTTCTGTGCACTGTGCACTTCAGTATGTGCTGTCCCCGCTCTGTCATTTTACGTGGCCTACCATGTCGTGGCTGAGTTGCTGTTGTTCCCAGTTGCTTCCACTTTGTTATAATACCACTAAAAGTTGACTGTGGAATATTTAGTAGCAAGGAAATTGTACGGGTGAATTTACTGCACAGGTGACAACCTATCACGGTACCACGCTTGAATTCACTGAGCTCCTGATAGCGACCCATTCTTTCACAAATGTTTGTAGAAGCAGTCTGCATACCTAGGGGCTTGATTCTATACAATGTGGCCATGGAGGTGATTGGAACACCTGAATCCAATGATTTTGAAGGGTGTCTCAATACTTTTGGCAATATAGTCTATATGTGCTGTCTGTACCTGGAAAACTGAATGTTTAATAAAAGGCAATGGTTATGTGACCCAGACTTCTGTGGAACAGTACAGCAGTCTTCAGGATTGTAATTTTGGTAATCCATGACCAAGTTTGATATTTGCATTAACCATTTCTCTGCCAGACCCTGTGCACTTTTAATACTCTGATAGCCAGACCGTTTTTGCAATTTTTCCATTGTTGTTTAATGTTTCACTTACAGCTTGCAGAGTTTGTTAAAGACCCCCCCAAGCCATATATTATCTGAAAGTACAGAACCAGTAGAATTAAAATAGGATGCTACTGAGGTATAAGACATGGACTCCTCCATTCACAAATCGGTATTTTATTGCATCCAAGTAAGCGGTAAGATACTGCACAGCGTTTTTAAAAAATATTTTTGAAACGCACTAGAAAAAGGATGCGCTATCTTATGAAGTGATGCGGTATTTTAGCAGTGAAAACCTGTGGTAATTTAACGCCATCAGCGTCTTTAATAACCAGTAACTGTCATGGTTGTCAATGAGTGGGCGGCTGCCCCCCCAAAACACCTTGTCCCCATGTTGATGAGGACAAGGGCCTCTTCCCCACAACCCAGGCCGGTGGTTGTAGGGGTCTGCAGGTGGGGGGGTTATCGGAATATGGAAGCCCCCTTTAACTAGGGGGCCCCCAGATCCTGGTCCTTCTCATGTGAATGAGTATGGGGTACATAGTACCCCAATTCATTCACCAAAAAAGAAGAGTATGAAACATGGTCTGATGCATCCTGTGGTGTGCCTTCATCCCTATTCAAACATATTTACAAACACAATAATTCCCAGGGCAAATTTTTGTGTTCACAAATACATTCACCAAAAAATACTCATTTACATGGAGGGGGGAGCTGGAATCTGGGGGTCCCTTGCTAAAGGGGGCTTCCAGATTCTGATAAGCCCCCTGCCCAAAGTCTCCCACAACCACTGGCCAGGGTTGTGGGGAGGAGGCCCTTGTCTTCATCAGAATGGGGACAAGGTGCTTTGTGGGAGAGGGGAATTCCCCCGCCTCAAAGAAATCCCCCATGTTGAGGGCATGTTGCCTGGTATGGTTCAAGAGGGGGGGGGGATGCTTGCTCATCCCTTCCCCGTTTCCTGACCCTGCTGGGTTGCATGCTTGGATAACGATCTGTTATGGATTTTGGGGGGGGTACCACACTGGATTTTTTTTATACTTTTTTAAAATTTTGTTATGGAGTTCCCCTTAAAATCCATTGCAAACCCGTAGGGCCTGGTAAGGATTGGGGAGGGGACCCCATGCTTTTTTTTTTCAGCAATTTTTACATTATTTTCTTTACATTCAACTGTCAGAGGGTTGCCCTGTGGTATTTTTGAGCGTTTGTGCTTTATGTGGTAAATACTGCATAAAGCGATGGTAAACTGTCATTTTCTGCATCGCATGCGGTATTCGGGAAAACACCTAAATACTGCATGTGATCTGCTTTTGTGAATGAAGCCCGGAGTGGTGTAGAGGATGCCAAAGTTAGCTCAGCCAGTCTGGACAGATCTCCTACCAGCCAGGTCTAAAACTAACCAAGCAAATCCACCTGTAGTACCAGTTCTACCTTCAAAAAGGATGCTAGCATCAGACTCAGGGTGACCAATCAGTCTCTACACGTAGAAACAGTTGTGAATGAAAGTCAATGCCGGTTTCTTACAAGCAACTTTAAGCTCTGATCTAGCCTCATTATAAGAATCCAGATTGCATCACACCACTAGTCCTAGCCTGTCTGCCACTTCAGGACTGGAGGAAAGAAGGAGGAACTTGCTGGATAACAGAGGATCCCTTTAAAGGGGACACGTGATTTATTTATTTATTTATTTCAGGTAAATATTTATGTCCTTGCATTTTATGTAGGTTATACATATAAGGAGGGAGCACAGCTGGTGTTTGTGGTGTACAAAGGTAGAGGAAGATTGCTGTGAACATTGTTTATGGTGTTGAATGCACAAGTTAATTCAGAGTTAAATTAAGAAAGGCACAAAGAGACTTTGTTTGACGTTTGACATTTTTATTAATGCCCATTTCACAATATATATGATTGTGGTGTATGATTTTGATTTATGTACATAAGAAAAAGTAATTATAGACGCGGTACTGTTATTTGTATGAAATAGCACTGCGCTGTTTTTTGGTTCTGAGTTTTTTTCACATCCCCGTGAGAGTGGTATAGGGTGTGGCATGCTACTAAAACTAATTTAATAAAAAAATATTTTGGGTCTAGCAGTGCAAAGGTTTTTTTCAGTTTTTTTTCCTGGAATTAAAGAAGGTGCTACTGAATTTTAGGCCCCATGATATTTGCGCAAATGTTTATCAAAACAATATTTTCTTTTTTTTATACTATCAAAACAGTATTTTCCCTAAAAATACACTAAAATAATTATGAGCTGATACAAACACAACAAAGTTTACAAAATTCCTACTAAATATAAAAGCTAAAACTGTATTGAGTTAATAAATAACAAATATTTGTAAATTTTAATTTGTGCCTTTTTGTGAAATGGTGAAAATCAGAGGCACGCAAAACTGTAAATAAGCAATTTAGGCTAAAAATCTGGAGATAACATTTTTCACTTACAGCTATCAGAGTTTGTAAAAGATCCCCCGGCCCCCCTCACCCCCAAACCATACATTTTTTTCTGAAAGCAGATGACCTGTACAATAAAAATAGGTGCTACTGAATTTTTAGGCCCTGCAATAGTTGCAAAATCTTTATCAAATTGCCATAACATAAGATGACTATTAGCAGACAAAAACATAGCACAACGTACAAAATTCTTGCTAAATTCCTTCTAAGGCTTCTTTCACATGGGGACTTCTACTAAAGTGTACGCTCATGGAGGGCTGTGGACTGGCAAATGAAGCTGTGGAGATAGGACAGAGAACAGCTATTCTTGTTCAGCAGAGTTTGCTAAACTGTTCTCCTATAACTTCATGGTCACTGAAGTGACCACGAAGTTATAGGAGAACTTCATGGTCGGTGGTGCGCTGTGTCCCTGGGACACAGTGGATCGGTGATCTCAGGGACAAAGTGCACAACCGTTCACCGTGCCCCAGGAGAGCATGCACAACTAGAGTGGGAGGACGTCATATGATATCCTCCCAGAACGAGAGAGCCACATTTCCTTAAATGGTGGGCGAGAGGTGGTTAAGGATAGTGATCATATGAATCCATTTATAATCAAATAGCTCCTTTTTAAATTATAATGATAGCAGAAATCACCCAAATTTTTTTTTTATTACAGGTACATATATAGTGCCATTGATTTATGCAGTAATATATATATATATATATATATATTGTGCATTCACATCAGTCCCTGCCCTCAAGGAGTGTACAATCTAAAGTCTCTAACTCACATTCATACATACACATACTGGGGCCAATTTAGACAGGAGCCAATTAACCTACCAGCATGTCTTTGGAGTGTAGGAGGAAACCCATGCAGGCTCAGGGGGAACATGCAAACTCCAGGCAGGTGGTGCTGTGGTTGGGATTTGAACCAATGACCCTAGTGCTGCCAGGTGGAAGTGCTAACCATTTAGCCACTGTTGTGCCACAAATGACCCTGATCAAAAGTTGACATAGTGGAATGTTTGGCCTTGTTACAGACACACGCAGGTTAAAATGTCAATTAAAGGTTAATTTCCCACATCTGGGACTTTTTAAATTGCAATTAGTGTCTGTGTATGAACAGTCAATGAGCTTGTTAGCTCTCAAGTGGATGCACTGAGCATGATACTGAGCCATGGGGAGCAAAAAAAAAAACTGTCAAAAGACCTGCTTAACAAGATAATATAACTTTATAAAGATGGAAAAGGATATACAAAGATATCCACAGACTTGAATATGCCAGTCAGTACTGTTCAATTACTTATGAAAAAGTGGAAAATTTGGGAATCTCTTGATATTAAGCCAAGGTCAGTAGACCACAACTGCCAGAAGAATTGTTCAGGATACAAAGGAAAACCCACAGGTAACCTCAGGCACAATAAAGGCTACTTAGAAAGAAAGATGGTGTAGTTGTTTCTAGGAGCACAATAGAATGATACTTGAACAAAAATTAGCTGCATGGTTGAGTTGCCAGAAATGCTTTACTGCGTCAATGCTGCAAAAAAGCCCGTTTACAATATGCCTGACAACTTGACACGCCTCACAGCTTCTGGCACATTGTAATCTGGAGTGATGAAACCAACCATAAGCCTTATGTTCGAAGAGAGGTCAACAAGGCTTATGGCACAGGTTCTCAACCTGCGGCCCTCCAGCTGTTGCGGAACTACAAGTCCCATGAGGAATTGAAAGGCTGACAATTACAAGGACCACAGGTTGAGCACCCATTGCCTATAGCGACAAGAATACCATCCCCATTGTGATACATGGTGGTTGCTCACTGATTTTTTTGCGGGGAGTGTGAGCTGTAAAGGCACATGGAATCTTGTGAAAATTGATGGCAAGGTGAATGCAGCATTTTATCAGCAAATACTGGCAGACAATTTGCTTTCTTCTGCATAAAAGCTGTGCGTGGGACACCCTTGAACTTTCCAGCAAGACAATGACCCCAAGCACAAAGCCAACTTGATCCTCCAGTGGTTAGAGCAGAAAGAGGTGAAGGTTCTGGAGTGGCCATAACAGTTTCCTGACCTTAATATCATCAAGCCACTCAAACGTGGGGTTCATGAAAGAAGACCAAATTCTTTGAATGACCTGGAGGTATTTTGCCCAGAGAAATGGGCAGCTATACCACCTGCAAGAATTTGGAGCCTCATAGACAACTACTAGAGAAAGACTGCATGCTGTTATTCATGCTGAAGGGGCAATAAACCGTATTAAGAACTAAGGGTATGCAGACTTTTGAA